TATTGAATAATTTTGATTCATTTAATAATTCTATTAAAGCATTTTGGTTACTATGGGCGCATCCACACATGCAAGTACATGCACTTGCAGCAGCTCAAATAGCAGCAGCACAAATGTGTGCCGGAGATTTGTGCCTCAGAACACATTCCTGAACATGCACTTTGGTGTGGGCCAAATTGTACCACATGGGGCAAACTAACCCTGCCCAGCTTCTCGCGGATCTTCACCTGTGCTGGCCCAGCAGTAGAAAAAGCTAGGGACACTAATCTCTTGTGCCAGCTGGACTGCTGAAGCAGCCCTAACCTAGAGTGGCTCCTGCACCCTCTACCCACTGCAGCAATCTGGTAGTGGGGGCTGCTGCCTGGGTGTGACCTGCTGCGCACCTGCAATAGCATTCATCCCCTTGGACCTGTGGCCCCATGGTTGCATGCCCAGAACCAGATGGGGACCGCACAGCCATCTGGGTTCTGGTATGGGCAGTGCAACAGAGCCCTCTGCACTTCTAGCCCAACTGCTAGTCAGCCATGTCTGCACAGTTGGCCTTCATGAGGAATTGCTGTCATGTCTTTTGGTGGCCCCACTCTTGCCACCTGGGCAACAAGATGTGCTTCTTGCAGTGGCCCACTTTAAACTGTCAAAGCATGTCCTCTTGACCTCAAATGGCCAGGTCAGCCACTTCATCTGCCCTCCAGCTGGGTCTCCAGTGCTGGCCCCGGGCAAGCTTCTCTGCCTGGGTCTTGCCACTTGCCTCACCAGCAGAGATCCTGGTGTTCCCTGTTTAAAAATTGCAAATTTTCTGATAAAAAAACAAAAGCAAATTCTCTTATTAAAATACCCAAAATCTGTGTTCTTCACAATTAAAATGAAACACCACTATATTTAGAGAGCTCAGTTGGGCAATGTTTTATGGATATATTTACAATTTTTAAGCAAATTGGAAGCCTACCAGTGCCTCTATCATCATAATAAAACAAATTCTAAATATCTATAAATTCTGGCATTTGCTTTTGGTTTTTTTTATCATAGAAAAATCAGAGCTGCCCCTGCCCCTTTTGCTCAACAGGATGGGGTGGGGGAGAGGGGGCTGAGCAGCACTGATATCCTGGTGCTCTGCCCCTGCCCTTGCCCCTCACTCCCAAACCACAATCCTTCTGCCCCCATCCCCAACCCAGTAACTCACTCACTGCTAACTGGCATCCCCCCACTAGCTCCTTCCTGGCAGCAGCTCCATCCTAGCAACAAGACATGAGTCCAGCTGCAGCTGTTCCACCCGCTACTTTGTGGCTGAGCAATGCTAGCCCTTGTTGTTTTGCTCCCTGTACCTGTGCCCAGACCCCAGCGATCCCCATGCATTTTCTGGGAAGCCCATGACTGGGGCTTAGGGACTGGGCTGGGCAAGCCCCTTCCCTTCCAAGCCATCCTCCCCCTGCACAGGCTTCTTTAGAGGGGCAGGGGGACTCTAAGCCTGGCTCTGGTGGCCTCTTTTACCCAGAGCACTCCCCAACCCCCATCTCTCTCTCTTACACACACGCCTGTTGCCACCCCGCCCCCATCTCCCCAGTCCATCACACACGCAAGTGGTTCTTGGGAGCAGGAGCCCCTGCAGGCTGGGGCTGCACGTCCCACTTGTGTGGACACAGGGCAGGGCTGCAGCATGACAGTTGCCCCTGCAGCCACGGCTTCTGCCAGCAGGTTCCGCCCCATCCCGTTTGGTGGCTGGCCATGCAAGTTGTGAGATCTGTAGGGGGGATGTGGGGCTTGGGGTAGAAGGGGACTGAGGGGTAAGTCTGAAGTTTGTGAGTGGAGTTTGGGGTGGCTTGTGGGTGGGTGTAGAGTTTGTGCCAGTGAGGTTTGTGGGGGGATTTGGGGGTTTGTGGGTGTGGGGTTTGTGGCTAGGTATGTGTGTGGGGGGCTTATGGGGGTAGTTTGAGGGTGTGGGTATAGAGGGGAAGGTGAAGGTGGGGGCAACTGCCTGGGAGTGATGAGTCCCCCACCCACCCCCTTGCATGGCACACAACACCCCCACAGCACTGGCCATTGGGGTACTCATAGCCCATTACTAGCAGAGCCCCCCCCAGTGGTGCAGCACGGTATGGCCCCAGCCGTCTGGGACCTGGCACTGCCTGTGCCACCTGCAGCCGGCCCAGACTGGCCCATTAGCGTGAGCCCTCAGGCAAAACCAAGCCACTCTTGTTACCTGCATGGAGCTAGCCCAGCCCAACAGCATGCGGGACACATGGAGGCAGTGCAATGAGGGTGCACAGTGCCAGTGGGCTGGCCTGGGCCAGCTCCATGTGGCACAGGCAGCGCTAGGTCCCAGGCAGTGGGGCTGTACTGCACCACCAGGGGCCCTTCCAGTAGTAGGCCAGGAGTGTCCCAATGGCCACTGCTGCTGCTACATGAGGGTGGGGAGGGGAGGGGAGGAAAACCACCCCTCTTGAGTAGCCCCTCAGCCACAGAGTCCCCCCCACACCCAAGTCCCTACTTACTGGGGACAGAGCCTGGGTCTAATCCACTGCCGCAGCCTTGCTCTGTTCCTATTTGCTTCAGCACACTGCCTCTGGCATGTGTTGACCCAGCCTCTGGCTTCTCTGGAGGACCCACCCTCTGAAGGACCCAGCCCCTGTGCCATTTTTTTCTGGCATGTTATTTTTTGATACCTGGATTTTCTGGTATCAAAATTAGAGTCCGTGCTCTAAATATACAGTGCAGGGAATGTTTTTTTCAATCTCAGTGTGCCTCTTGCAGTGTCTCAAACTCCTCTGAGATGCCACAACAGGCATGCACTTGCTCATCTGGACGTATCCTATGAGATTATAAACTGTCTTTGGTGTAGCAATTTATACTTTGCCAAAAGAAGGTACGAGGTTTTTCTGTTTGCTTTGATTTTAAAATCAGCATATGCATTATTTTAGGCCTTGTTTAAAAATACTATTTTTGTAACAGGTAACATCAAAAAGATGCTAAGTGCTTACAAACACGTTGGTTGATATAGCCCCTACTCAAAGAGGTTATATCCACATCCAAATTCAGTTCTACATCTTTTGTGCACATGATAATATGCAAATCTACCCAGGAATACAGCTCTCCTATTTTCTCAAAGGGAAGCCTAGTGAGACCCCAGAGACTACATCAAATTCACCATGCATAAATGCAGTGCTCTCCTATTATGACAATAAGCAGGTTTTTCTGATTTTAGCCCACCTTGGGAAAAACAAAGCCTTCTTCTACTCTTCAGTGGGAAACACTTTTGGGATACATCATGTAAGGATTTGTCTCAGTCTGAGGAAAACATCTTAATAACAAAGGAGAGGACTCACTCACCTTTGACTATTCATTGCAAAATCTCAAAATAAAATTGGGAGCCCAGAATGGAAAGCAGGGCCAATTCATGTAAGAGGCTGATTAGTTCACTGTACAACATTTGTAAAATATTTAAACCATAAAAGGTGGTAACTGGTTGATACCAACAACAAATATTTGAGTCTTGCAGGGCCTTATATCATTATATCATCTTTCACACCAACAACATGAAAGAATCAATATGGCAACATATTAGCAAAGACAGTGTCTATATTCATGACTGAGGTAGGATTCCTACAGCTTTGTCTCACCATTATGGCTAGAGGTTTTATTCCATATTTAAAGATGAGGCATCTGAGTGTTGCTGACAAGGCCAGTTCCTACCAGGTGCATAATAGGAAGAACACCTCATAACCATAGAAAATTAGTGTTGGAAGGGACCTCAGGAGGTCATCTAGTCCAGCTCCCTGCTCAAAGAAGGACCACCCACAACTAGATAATTGCCACCAAAGCTTTTTTCTAGCTGAGTCTTGAAAACCTTCAGGGATGGAGAGTCAACAACTCCTCTTGGTAGCCTATTACAGTGCCTTACTACCCTCCTCATGAAAAAGTTTTTCCTAATATGTAAACTAAATTTCCCTTGCTGCAACTTGAGACTGTTGCTCCTTGTCCTGTCATCTGCCACCACTGAGAACAGTCTAGCTCCATCCTCCATAACGTGTAGTACACAAAGAAGCTGCAAAGAAGCCTCAGCTGTGATATCATGATTAAATGCACATCTATGCCCCTTCTACAGAGTCATTGTAAATCCCAATACAGCAAGAGTGCACCATCACTAGCTTCTTTTCCAACTAAAGGTTTTTTTCAAATGCCGATAGCATTACTTAAACAATGGATTCCTTTTAAACTTGGGCTTTTGGGGAGAGGACATTTTGATTGTTTAAAACTTCCCCTCTACACAGTGGTTAAGTCTACCATGATTTTGTTTAGCAATTATTTTATGCCCAAATGATATAAACATAAAAATGAAATTAAAACCCTCTTATAAAAACTAACACCACTATAAAATAATATTAAATCCTTTTAAGGTTATTTTCTGGTTCCAGCAGAGTTCTAAATTTCTAACTAGTGTTGTTTCTCTCAGGGATTTTAATGAACACCCCCCTCCCCCCACCCCCCAAAAAAAAAAAAATCACAGGAGGACAGGAAGATGCAGCAGTCACTAGGAAGTTGGGAAGATATTTACAGTATACAGAATAACATCTTTGACTGAAATTCAGATTGGATTATAGTGTGTATTTTCACACACAAGTATGTTAATACAAACAATCCAATTCCTGAAAACAAAGCATGCCTGCCCCAATCCTACGACTCTGATTTGAAATCAGATAATGTTATTAACATAAAAAACTAAACAAATCTTAACTCAGAACTATACACTATCCTGCTAGGTAATCAGCTGGGGACTGGGTGCTACTGTTTTTTTGAAATACTATCAAGTTTTTTTCAAGATCATTTTTAAGACTAAAGAGAACAGAAATCAATTTTGTTATGCTTGCATAACAGATATGATTTGGGGTTTTTTTTGACAAATTGTGTATGGATAAATTCCATGGACTGGAACACTGCTCTCATTTGGATTTTGCACCAAATATTTTCCCACTTGTGTAACTCTTAAATTATGTTTACACACTGACAGCATTTGCTTGTGCTCCCAGAAAGGGCAACTTCTGTTCCAAGCCTGCTAAGAGCAACCACTTCAGGGGATGTCCTTTGCAGCTAATATCTAGCACCACAGAAATAAGAGGTCTTGAAGGCAGCTGGAGTGATCTCCTCAAAATGGCTTCCCACCCCACATCCAATTAGTTCAGTTTTTCAAGCAGAAGTAAAAATAGGTGGGTGGGGCATGGTCCAGAGAGTCCATCTCCAAGAGACCTGTGGATGCAAAGAATAAATTGCTATACCAGAGGCAGTTTATAATCTCATAACAACCAAAAAAAGAGATAATGCTGTAATAGTATTATTCAGTAACATAGAATAATAGGAATATTATTTTGGAATTGAAGCTCAAATAATTATCTATACTCAGAAGCTTCCTACTGAGTCTTTCCTTTCCATACTCTCCAGTGCAAAAATACTCTCAGGTCCTTAATATCAAAGTATGCCAAAGGATATCAAAGAACATGTAATTATATGAGAGCTGTTAGAAAAAAAAAAATCCATGGGGTATTTTGGTTACAAATAACAAAAATTTGATTCTGCCATACTGTGTTGATACCATTACAAAAGAGAAAAAAATTAAATGAACAAAGAGTTGGCAAAGATTTTTTTTTAATTCTACGTATCTGAGTATCTCCAATCCCTAAACCAATCAAATCAGAACTTTTTCAGTGAAAGAGAGGCTGCTTGCTCTGTGGAATGCTATTTTAAAACATAATCCCATTACAAAAGGTATTTGAAAAATGTGTTTCTTCTTTTAAAAAGTTTAAGTTTAAAAACCTTTATGAACTTGGAAAATAAAACCTGAGTCACTGCAGAGTGCCACTAACTCCAGTGTAAGTCAGTCAGACATTACAGGCGGAACCTGTCAAAACAACTCTTTCTTCTTTTCTAAATGGAAAATTTCTGACAGATTTTTTTAAAAGCTCAGTTTCACAGCAAGTCCCTGCAGTATGTATAAGTGCTAAATGCTGTTTTAATGTTTCCAGCCTCTACTGAGGTCTCTTAGCCATCCTATATGTTTATCTGTGTTTAAAAATGCCTCTCAGCCTCTTACAAATGAGATGTTCTTCTTAATTAAGAAACTTGAAATTAAATCTTCTTTAAGTATTCTTATAAAAGAGGCCAGGATTTTATTTATAATTGTTCTATGTGCATGAGTGTTTACTAGCTTCCTGCTAAAATGGAGCATCAAAGTGTAGAAAGAAATCCTTTTGTATTTCATCAGTTTCAGCAAAAATTACAAGCATGAGAAGGTTTGAGAGAGCTTCAAAGGACCTATACTTACCAAACCAGATTGTCAAAAGGTTTTTCTGGAGAATCTAAGTACCTAAATACTTTTAATGATCTGGACAAAGAACTCATTAACACACAAAATTTATCCAGAATAAAGTAAAACATCAATTTGAAATATCTATTTCAAATTAACTATTACCTATATTAGCACCTATTGTATATTGATAAAGATTGCAGACACTCTTAACTCAGGATTAAGAGTGCCTTTCTCCCATTCATCTAAATCCAGTTTAAAAGGGCGTGTCTTCACATCGCATTACGGCAACATAGCAACGTGCTATGTTGTTGTAAGGTGTGCTATAGTGATGTAGCAATCACGTGGGTCTATACATGAGTGCTAGCTACACTGCCATAGCAACGTGCTCCCTGCTTATAGCGTGACGCTATGGTGACGTAGCAGGGAACTTTAGGCATGCACTAGCCATACAGTGCAGTATGGGTGGTTACTGCACTGTGTTTTAGTACTTCCAAAAGGCTACTAAAGTACAGCGCAGTAACAATATTGCTGTATGGCAACATGTAGACATGGCCAACATGGAGTAAAGCACGCTTACTCATTACTACAAGGCCCCTGGCAGACATTACACTTAAGATGTGTTTAACCAGTTATCACTTATGTAGTAACCCAGCCACACGTTCATGCAATTAAAAGGCTTGCTCAAACATGGAATAAGCCAGAAAGTTATTACACAAAGCATGTGTAATAACTTTACATTGTGGCTGGTTAAGGAATGATGGGAAATTGCACATATAGCCAGGCTGATCAGGGCTTCTAGCTTCAGGAGTGTATGGGACCCCTTGACTCCCATAGACTCTTGAGGATGGGAGCTCCGATCAGCCGATTGCCTCTCCAGCCTTAGAGCTCCATGAGAGTCAAGGGCTCTGATGTGCCCCTGAGACTGGGAGATGTGATCAGCTGCTGCTTCCAGCCACAGGGTCACACCAGAGCCTTTGAATTCCATGCACCCCAAAGGGTGGGAGCACAGACTACCAAATGTATTCATTCAGCCTCTGGGGTGCAGCAAAGCCCTTGAAGCCAGCTGCAACCCAGAGGCTGGAAGCACAAATCAGCTGATCAGAGCTCCAGCCTCAGGAGCTGATTGCACCTTTTGACTGCAATATGGTTCTGAGGCTGGGAGCATGGAACATCTGACAAGTGCAGTCATGATCCTGCTGCTCCTGACTTGGCAATGTGGCGCAATGGCGATCTGAGTGATCTCAGATCCTACAGTCATGCCTCCTGCCATGCACATGTGGCAAGGCAGGAAGAGTGATTGTTGGTATCATACATCAGACACCATGGTGCCTTTAGGTGTTCTAGGAGCCCAAGTATCCACACACTTATAAATATGAAATAGTTGTACATATAAAAAAGTATTAATATGAAATAATTCATTTTATTAGTTAAGTATCTCCTAGTGGTTTTATTACTTGCTATGAAAGTCTGCCTTTCAAAATCTGCCAAACATTTCACTTGACAGAAAAGCTAGATTAAATCTTACTTACACCCATTGAGCAGACCCGTCAATCAGCTGCTTAGGCTGTAGGACTGGGAGCTCTAATAAGGCAACACTAAAACTTCTGAGGTGTCATTCGCTTTAGAGAAATTAAGAGCACTGGAAACATATCTTTCTACCTGACGAAACTTCCTTTGTGTTACCCAAAGACAACTTCCTGTGCAATGGAATAAAAATAAATATATTTTATTTTATTTTTTTAAATCTTAACTTAGAACAAAACAGTTTGCTTCAAAGTACCTAAGAAAGAGAAAGAGTCGTCTTGTGAACTGTTCCAAAATTATGGTTTAGCAGTGATCTGTTATTAGGACTTTCTACAATGGTTGCCTCCCTGTAATGCTATTTTTGTAGAAATTAGCTTTTAGAAGATGTACTTTCTGACAAACAGTAAGAGGAAACAAGCACCACAGTAATTACAGATAAATTAAATAGTGACCAAATGTTGCCTTCCATGGAAGGAATTCAGCAAGGCAAAAAAACCAAAATAGTGTAAAAAGACATACCTATACTTAAAAGTTGAAGCCAGAATGAAAGCAACTTGAGAATGAGAGACATCCTAGAGACCATAAAGTAAGGAGGAAGAAAACTGAAGAGAATAAACATGGAGTAAGTGATGAAATACTAAAGGACCATGAAAACAGAGGAAACATGTAAAGAAAAAAGAATGAGAAAGCAGCAAAAAGATGGCAAGAGAGCACGCCTTTATGCATACAAGTGGATTAAATCAACATCCTTAGCAGCAAGAATTTTTCAGTTGAGTTATTCTAAGAGAAAAAAAATAGTGTTTGAAA